AATATTGTCGTCACGTATACCAAAAATTAACAAAAATATTAATTTTTTTTCGTTTTCGATATAAATTTGACCACCATGACCTAGATTTTGATGCGTACTTTAATTCTAGACAAGAATTTTGCATTTCTATAAAGTCAATTAAAAGATTAGTGCTAAGAAAAAAAGCCGGTATTACAGACGGCTTTAGGATCCCCTTAAGATATGTATGTACACAATCGACTCCCTGGTGTGCTCGGGCAGTCGGGCTCGAAATCGCACTACGCGTTTAAAGCCTTGTGTACACCGGGCTTTACGTATGTACATACATACACAGAGCGCTCCGTCTCTATCCTTGTGACGACAGCAGACGAGCAGACAGCTCCAGTACTCCACACGAATAGACGAAGCGTCTCGGTGTACGTAGTGGAGGGGAAAAAACACCGATGTGCTCGGGCAGCGGGCAGCGGGCTCGAAATCGCACCACTTGATTTGTGAATTTGTGATTTGTGTATACAGTTGTAACTTGTAAACAGAGCCGGAGAGCCCGAGAGCATATCAGAAACGTGAGGAACACCGCGCGAATCATGCGTCCAAAGAAAGACGACGATTATCTTGAATTCGTGGATTAATAATCGTGGAACTATCGTAAGTGAAGAATCAGCGCACTTTGGATATTTAAAAAAAGGTGTTAATTACTAGGCGTCCTAACCTCGAAATTTGAAAAGGTTAAAGGGGTATCATAACTAATCACTAATCGGTTGCACATTAAAAAAGAGAGCATCTTATTAAGTCGCAACTACTTGGAATCGTCATTATAAAACCTCTTTCAGTTCAAGAGGACACAACATGAAAGTGTAAGTTATCAAGTTCGTTAGATCTCGTTTCGCTCGCGATAATCGTTAGCTTTTACCGCCGTCAATCTTTCAGCATAAAAGGAAATTGGAACACCCTTCTGAGCAATTACGAAGTTCTGAATATTTTGCAAAACACGAAGTCTTATAAGAAGCAGATGAATCAGCTCGCGACTATTACTTATCAGACGATTAAGTATCTGGAAGACACGCCGTGCAAGAAGCAGAATCCAGAAAAAATCCACGAGTTCCTAAAAGCGATGGAACCCATTAAATTGACCAAGGCCGAGAAGCTTACTCTTCTCAACCTCTGCCCCACTACATTAGTCGAGATACAATTGGTATGGTTCCTTTCCTAACAAATATCCTAATTAGGAAGCGGTGGAAAGGAAAGATTTGAGTCTCTGAATATTTCAATGGACTATAGATCTATTTTGAAATGTTTATATACAGATGGTTGAAGAGAGCGAGGAACGGCTGTCGGAGGAAGAAGCGAAGACCGTGCTTCAGATCGTCGCAAATTTGCGGGATGAGCAGGACGCAGAACAAGAGACCTAATTTTAGATCTTAAAAAATAACTTATTTAAATATATTTTGCGTATGTACATTTTATTTATAATAAACACGACTGGAAATAGTGTATAATTAAATTATTGTGCGTGCGTAATAGTGGATAGCCTTATTATCTCTTTTGATCTCCAAGATCGTCTATAGAGTCCTCGTCAATCTGAAAAAGAGCAGAATTTTCCATTAAGAAACTTTTGCGTTTGATGGCTTTTATTCTTTTTTCCCTCCTTTTAAAACTGTAACTTACTTGTGGCCATTTCTCAGGTATCACCTCGAATAAGTCATCCTTGACGTCTCCCTGTATGACAATCTCATCATCGCCAGTCACACTGGATCCACAGGCAAACTTGCTGCCGAAAAATTTCGCTGCTACCTTTAAGTCGATGTCTGTAAAGAATATATATTTTTCAACATTGAAATTATTTATTTTGCAATCCGTTTAAAGGGTCGATTTGATGTGTTACCAAAAGTGCTAAGGCCAGTTACAACTGTGACAGATTTCTTCTTTCCTCTAGGTGCTCTAGAGATGGTCACCAACCGTGGTATATCCTCTTTCTTCTTGGTTTTCAGCATACCCTTACCGCCTCGCTTCTGCCGCTTCTTCTCATCCTCCCCTGTGCTGACTTCGGTGGAGCCATCCTCTGTAGCTGGATTAGAACATAGTCTTTCAGTTAAAACCTCCGACTGTCCAACTGTCTCCGGTGATCAAAATTCTCCATAATTACCTAATTTCATCTTCTCAAATTCGGTAGGCAGATTTCTCTCCAGCCACTGCTTGCACTTGTCATATTCCGGATAGTATTCGCAGTACTGCAAATCAACAATTGGACCTTAATTCACGTTATCCCGTTGGAAGAGATGAAAAAATTAGTGCAAAACGTTTATTATTTTGTTTTCTTTCTCTAAGATGCGATATGCTATAATTAATTTTCAGTTATAATTAATTTCATTTTAACGATTGTCAATGATGACTCGTCTATTTTCGTCATCGAGTGCACTTTCTTCGCATCGATATCGAAAGTAGTGACTTACCTCGATGGGTAGCGAACAGTTCCCGCAGTACTGGACCCGAATAGGATAAGTGACATTAGGATCCGGTCCCAATCGAAACTCCGGCTGTTCCTCTGCTGACATCCTTGCGGCGTCTAACCTTACTCCTTACTCGCGGTCTCGTCGGGCAGTCCTTTCAAGTCGAGGTCGTTTTAGAAATTTTTCCTCCGTGCCGCGCTGATCTTCCTGGAAACGCAACGTTACTTATTTTCATGTATACAAACAACTCTGCCGACAAATATCTCGCACCGCGCGCACCGTTAGGTTAGGAGCCGCCAGGGATGTAGAGACCTGCAGATCGATTTTCAAGACTCGATAGCGTAGAAAGTGATTTTCGATTTCTTGAAAAGCTGCTTGAAAATTGTAACCAATGCGCGCGATGCGACTCGTCGTTTTTAGCACGCGTGCAATCTAGTGAATTATTACAAACACACCATTTATATCCATTTCGATCAAATGCAGATTATGCACAATTCGTATATATATAATTATCGACTACGTTTACACGGCTGCTTATAATCCGGTTTAATAACTATATACTGTATACTATCGGATTTAAAATTTTTCTTCTTTTGATTACAACGATCATTTAAATATGAACATATATTTTAATACTCTAAACATTTGAATCAATTTTTTATATTTATATATTAAAAAAGTTGTAGTTTTAATTAAGTATCAAAAAAGACTCATATCTAAATGATCATCTTAATAAAAAAATTTTTTGAATCGAATAACATACGGAGTGTTATTCAACCGGATGACAAGCCGCCGGGTAAACGTAGTCAATAATAAATATACATTTTAATATTTCTAATCTTGTTTTACAAATCAAAGAATACAAGAAATTAATAATTTTATTTATATAAAAAAATAAGATATTGTTTGATGGTTTTCTATTAATCACCGAAAGTTAATTACAATTTAAAGTCAAATAGCGTTTTCGACTGGACCGGATTTAATCGCTTCTACAGCGATTAACCCTCGGAGAACACTACACGTACCTATTTTTTCATTCACGGAGAACACTCTGGGTCAATCTGATGACCCTAATACATTCACTTTGATCGTACATCATTTTAAATTGACGAGTGCGATCAGCTTGAAAAAATTTCCAGATGTACTTGGAACATTGTTAAATCAATTGATATAAATAAAAAATGCCGTTGGAATTACTTACATATTTAAAAAAAATTGTTTAAATTTAAAAAAATTTTTTATTAAGTTTTTTAAATATATGGTATCCGCAGAGCTCTAACAGATACCATAGCGCATGCGCATATGGCTTCTGCACATGGTGTAAGGATTACATGGTGTGCTCAATTGGTGTCTTTCTTTCTCTAAAATCGTTTCTCTCTCTGCCGCTCACGTCGAATTGTGTAAGCAGTGGTACCACCACTAAAAGTAACTAGGAAATAGGAAATTTGAACGGATTATGTTGCAAACTGCCTCCTGAAAATGTATTGCAACGATGAATGATATTTGAAGATACGTTGTATTTATTAGAAATTCTTGAAAAGTATTATTGTTTAGGGCTTCAATGATTTCTCAACAAATGGAAAAGTATTAAAGAAAATTTAAAAAAATAATACTTGTAAAGCCTCATGTACAAAGAATGTAATAGTATATTAAAATTGCAATACTTCCTTTTTTCGAATGTTTTAATGCTTCTATTTTTTCCTTTGCTGGTTTTGAATGAATTAATGCAAAAAGACAGAATTATTGTCATTGATTAATGGCATGAATAAAGCCTAACCTTTTGTCCGATGATAATGTATATATTAAGTATAAAAGCACTCTAGTATCTTACTGGCTCAAAGGATGTGGCGATAACTTTTGAATGCAGGGGTCATACGTTCGAATCAATTGTTTTTTTTTTTATTAATTATTTGTTGCCCGTAAAAGTAACATAACAATTATTAATTTTATATGAAATTGGCGTTTAAAAATATGTATTGGCGAAGTATAATATAACTAATTATAGGTATACATAATCAACGAAAAATTAAATTATTGAAATTTAATATAATTTATTAATTATTCCAATTTCATGTATTTTTTTTATTCATTATTCTTGATTACATTTCTAATTTCTGTTTCAATAATTGTACCTATTTAAAATTAATTTGTTTACAACACAAGGTGGTACATTAATAAACCGCTTAAAAGGAAAGTCGATACACGAAAATCAGATCTTTGAAAAAAAATTTGTCACACCTTTTACATTTAAAATATTATTACTGATATTTTTGAAGAGAGAGAAGTGATTAATGTTTGTGAAAAGAAATGCAAAGAAGCAAAAATAATTAGTATAACAACTTTTATTTGTAATTGGACTTTTCTTCTGAAAAAAGGTAGTTGAAAATGTTTAATAACAAGAAATTTAATATTATATTTATATAAATATAATTTTGACACATTCTTTCAGTGATGTTAGAGTACGCAGGTAAGTACATTTTAGACACAAACAAACTTGCTATTAATTAAATATTATTCCGTTGTATGTATATATATATATATATATATATATATATAGATTTGCAGAAAGAGTATGATTTTATATACATTACATTATACACATTACATTATACATTACATATACATTATACTCGTGCAATGACAACATTAGTTTAATTTACGACACTAGTTTCTTCATTTTCTTCTCCTTCTTTCTTCTCTCTCTGTTTACATACGATTTTTTGGCATTTTCTTTTATTCGTATGTACGTACGTGTTCTCACCAGACACAATAAAACTTCATCAGGTAAGGAATCTTTGTACTCAGCCACCGCATTTCTTGTGAAAAAGTACATTTATATAATTACATAACACCACATTACAAATACAAATGTGTATGTGTTTTTATATACTTACTTGTTTACATTTGGAGCTTCTGAACAATTCAAAAATAACGTTGGCACAGCCGATGGTAGTAGGTGACGTTTCTTAACAGGGTCTTTCCGTGCTCGACCTTGATGAAAGGACTCTTGACTAAAATGAACCGAGCATATCCTTGCTGAAAATAATATAATGTATAAATAATAAAACTTAATACATTGTATTAAATATGGCTTTATAATTTTTATTTCAAATTAAAGATTTTCATATTTTGAATTGTAAAATATTTTTACTTATATACATGAACAAAGTGCTAATTTGTTTTTATTATTTTCTGTTCATATTAATAACATTTCATGACATTTTTACTCCATTTGTAAATACAAAATTTGAGGTTATGTTAGTAACTAAAAAATATTATTTTTTATTCATTTTTATTTTTCAATTAATATACTTTTGCACGTTTATGTACAATATCAAACTTACCAAATTCAACTTTTGGTGGTAAAACATAGCCTCCTATTTTTTTCAGCCATCCTTCCCGCATTACTTCATTTTTCGGTAGCTGAAAAAAATTCACAGTTTCCTCACGAACCCCCGTTGTTTTATTTCTACAACTTTTAACAATACACCGCACCATTTTTATTTTAAATTTATATATTGTCGCAACGCAAACAGACCCACTGTTTAACACAAAACAATGTACCGTACTTCTGAGGGTGCCGTCCCATGGCGCGTATTGCGATACGCGCGTATCGGGCGTATCGAAGTCTGCGGCCAATCACAGACGATCCGCCGATTTTGGTACGCCGAAATTTGCTCCTAAACGTCCCATGGAGCGGATTTCATCAGATTAAGCGTAAGCGGACCAGCGGATCGCCAATCACAGAATCTTTCCGATAGAGCCCTTTCAAAGATTCCGTTGAAACGGATCCGTGATTGACGATCCGCTGGTTACGCTTCCGCTTTATCCGCTCCATGGGACGGTAGGACCGTTTGGCGACGCGTACTGAACACACGCACACAAACACGCTTGTGACGCATGCACCTAAAAGGGCAAACGTCATAACCTCCAAAGTGAAGCCAGTTGTACGGCAAAAAATCTATGTTGAGATCGAGATCGCCAAGGTATTCGCCACCGCTTAATCTAGATCCAAATCACCTAGATTACCCCGAGAACAGTGTCACCACGTCGATTTACATTTCAGATCCAGATCGCCCTCGTTTTCTCCTCGAAGAGGATCATTTCGCTTGCATTCGCCGAAGAATTTTTGTGACTTTTGCGTGACATCGGTGTACGGCAGTGTC